AAAACACCGTGGAACGAGAGAATTTAGTCCGTGTGGTTCACAAAAGGATGTCTAACAAGAAAGCGTGGCTACAAACGAAGCAACACTGAATATTAAATAATCCAATTGTTCCGCATTGTAGTTCCACGGAACCACAGAATATGAATTGCCGACAGCAGCCAGAATGAGAAAAAGGAATTACTTTAGAACGTCAGCTAAAAGTTGCCAAGAAAGGACGAGTGAATTTAAAGGAGGTATTTTGAAAAAGGAACCCGAACATTGACTTACAGAGGAGGAGTATAATTGACCACCCTACAATTGCCAGAGTTGAAATATCAACCGCGAAGAACATTGAAGGAAGTGCTCAAACCAACGGGAATGCATGGCAAAACTATTTCTGTTCGCCAAACAACCTCGATGATACGAAGTTCTCTTACTAACTTCCCAACCATCTCTAATATCCACGACCTGCATTTCATAGGGCAGCAAACATTGTTGGAAAAGGCTTCAAGCGACAGGCAATCAACGTTGCACTTTTGGTCGAGAAAATGAGACTCACCGCGATACTTCTTGACTCGGAATCCCTTGGAGATGAAGTACTCGCCAGGAGCTTCAGTGGTTCCAGCCACAAGGGATCCCATCATAACAGTTGAGGCACCGAGTGCAAGCGCCTTCACGATCATGCCGGCTGCAGAGATGCCACCGTCGGCTATTACTGGCACATCGTAGTTTCGCGCGTACTCCGACACCTTAGTGGTACAACAACAATTATTTGACCAGACAGTAGATCAGATTAGGCCAGACTTTACACCTAGTGGGACTCACTCTGTCGAAGGGAGGAAATATTACCAACAATTCTTCAGGCAGTGATTTTTAAATACAGATCACATAATTGATAGGTGATGGGGTGTGATTTGGATTGGGACCCCCTGCCATTTGCAGAAAAATTTTTTTGGAACATGATCAATGCAAGGTCTAGTTATTTGCAGCTCATTTTAAAAAAAAAAGCTATAGGCAACCGGAATACAACTAAATTGCTCTGATTTCAACATTTAATCGAGGGTGCCTACTCGCCGTAAGTTAGAGATTTCTCAAGGCCTATAATAACTGCCACACCATGATGATATAACCTCGAAGA